CACCTTGTCATCCCTCTTGATGAACTCTGATCCCAGAGAGATGGGATCTTTGGGTCTCCCCGTGGTCATTTCAAGTAGCATTTAGTGTCTTATGGTTCCCAGTAATTTGAGGATGGTGACAGTAATGTTGTCATTCTTTTTAAGGCCAGAACCCTTGTGTGCTGGAAGCCCAGGTTTAAATTTCATGGGATTCACATCTCACAGGAGGATACTAAGCTCTTTAGATATTTCTGTAGACCGTAGCCTTCATTAACTTGTGAGATTATGCAAAAAAGTCAGTTTCTGATGGTTCCCTTTAGGGCTCCTGTCCCCTTTTTCAGGTTTATATTCGTTTTGCTAAGTCCCCAGGCATGAAGGGCTGCAGTTCTGCCCTGTAAAATGAAGAGACAGAGCCAGCAGGGAGGGAGAGACAACTGACACAGGAGAAGCTGCAGTGGACCCTGACCATGGTCAGCCCGCGAGTGTGTCGTCAGTCTGCACTCGGATGACGAGCTCGTTGTTTCCCATCCACAGCTGCTGCGGAGTAAGAACACAGAGTTCGTCTTGGCCGTAAACCCAACTGCCTTTTCTTTTCTAGAATAATAGCAGAGAATAATCTGTTGGCATGTCTTAAAGGGGCTGTAAATCTCACTTCTCTTATTTTCCTGTTCAGCTGTTAGGAGCATTAGACTGGTTGGGCTCGGTGGCTCAACCTGTAATCCCAGCACTTTGGGAGGCTGAGGCAAGTGGATTGCCTGAGCCTGCGGGTTCGAGACTCACCTGGGCAACTTGGCAAGATCTTGTCTCTACAATAAATGTTTAAAAATTAGCCAGGCGTGGTAGTGCTCACCTGTAGTTCCAGCTACTTGGAAGGCTGAGGCGGAAGGATCACCAGAGCCCAGCAGATCAAGGCTGCGGTGACTAGGAGCATGCCACTATACTCCAGTCGGACGACAGTGAGACTCCAACTCAAAAAAAAAAAAAGCATTAGACTATCCTTAGGAACAAGATAAGCTGGTGAATCCTTCTGATTATTTTCTGTGTTGTGTATAACCACTGTCTTTCTTCTTTTGGAGTCTTAGCTCTGTCTCCCAAGCTGGAGTGTAGTGGCATGATTAGGGCTCACTGTGGCCTTAACCTGGGGCTAAGGTGATCCTTCTGCCTCAGCCTCTGAAACACCCTTGAGGCTATAGGCATGTGCCACCACACCTGGCTGATTTTTGTTTATTTATTTTATTTTTTTAGAGACACGGTCTCGCTATGTTTGCTAGGCTGCTCTCCAACTCCTGGGCTCGAGGGATTCTCTCCCCTCAGTCTCCCAAAGTGCTAGGGTTATAGGCATGAGCCACTGGCCAGGTACCCCAAATTCCTGTTTGCGTAGCAGGGATACCTGCTAATCAGCTAAATGTTATTCCTCTTGATCGGGGAGCAGAAACCATCACTCATGTGTCAGGTACCGTGGAGGCCTGGGGACGAGTGGGGGAAGGTGCTGTGGAGGCATCTGGGGTGTTTTTTGTTTTGTTTTTTAATTGGAGTCTCTCACTCTGTTGCCCAGGGTGAAGTGCAGTGGCACACTCACAACCAACCCACCCTTGACCTGCTGGGCTCCAGCGATCCCTCCACCTCAGCCTTCCAAGTAGCCGGAACTACAGGTGCACGCTACCACGCCCGGCTAATTTTTGCTTTGTTGTAGAGACAAAGTCTCGCCAAGTTGCCCGGGCTGGTCTCGGACTCGTGGGCTCAGGCAGTCCACTTGCCTCGGCCTCCCAAAGTGCTGGGATGACGGGCTGAGCCAACCGAGCCCAGCCCTGGATTGGTCTTGGTGTTTACTGGCCATGGAGGTTATTAACTTCTGCCCTCTCCTTCCTTCCTCACCTCAGGTGATGGTGGGAGCAAGGTTGGCATACTGTTCTTTTTGCCTCTGAAGGATGACTGTGCCCCATCCATTTCTCTTCCACACAAGTTCACCTGCAGTTTGTGTTCACGTTACAAACACTTTCGTCTTTTCCTCTTGGAGAAACAAAAACTCGTGTTGATCTACTTGAGCTTTGCTTTCTGCCCTGGGCACAACTACACGTATCTGTGCCTTGCCTTCTCGTGTGTGGACCTTCACTGTGCCGCTGACACTGCTCTCGCCAGCGTCGCCGCTCCCAGTTCTACCGGCCCTACGATCCTTAATTATAGTTTCCTTTTTGGAAAAGGTAGGTGTTGACGACGTCAGCAAGGCCTCAGACTTCTAGAGAAAGTTCTGTGTTTTTAGAGCCAAAAAAAAAGAAGAAAGAGCCGTCATTTTAGTCACTCGTTTGACAAATATTTATTGAGCGTTTTCCAATCTTTGAAGATACAGTAGTGAATAAAATGGACAGATTTTTCCTGGAGTTCATGTTCTGTTTTCCTGGAATTTATGTTCTAGTTAGAGGAAAGAGATAAACAAGTAAAAGATATGTCAGATAATGGTAAAGGGTGATCCAGCCAAAACAAAACAAAGAGCAGGGTGGGGTGTAGATGATGTGGCCAGGGAAAGGCTCCCCGAGAATCTGATGTTCGAGTGAAGACCAGAGGAGGCGAGCAAAGGTGCCGTGGAGGAATCTGGGATGAATGGTCCTGGCGGGCTGCTTATCTGGTCTTAGCAAATGTAGTTTTCTGTGGTATGAAATGTTTGTATAGAGTTCTTGGTCTTGTGATAAAAAGGAGGCGGGATATTTTTGTGTACAGTTGACCCTTGAACATCATGAGTTTAAACTGCGAGTCCACTTACTTACATGCATGTTTTTTTCAGTAAATACATTGGAAAATAAAACTTGCAGGTGAACTTCGTAGCCTTGAAATGCCCCCCAAATTAAGAAGCAGGTATGTCATGAATGCATAAAATACATGCAGATACTAGTCTATTGTCTAATTTGCCACCATAAAATATACGCAAATCTATCATAGTAAGTTAAAATGTATCGGAACATCTGTGTGTGCGCCCAGATCACACACATTTTTTTTTTTTTTTTTTTGAGTTGGAGTCTCGAACCTGCGGGCTCAGGCAATCCACTCACCTCAGCCTCCCAAAGGCACAGGATTAGAGGCTGAGCCACTGAGCCTGGCTTTTTTTGTTTGTTTTTTTTTTTTTGCCTACAAAAGAAATGTAAATGAATGTCACGATAACAATGTTGCATCCAAACTGTAGCACATAGCATCTGCTGTCGGTGTTGCAGCTCAGTGCTACAAGTGTCCACTTAGCACACGGAGGGCGTGGGTCGCCTCCCCAGGAAACCCTGTCTCTCCAGTAAAGCACAGTAAAGAGCGATCTCTTGTCGCGCTCTTGTGTGTGTTTCATCGTGTTGAGGGTAGTATCATAAACTTTGAATAACCCCATGGGACCCACACAGAGTGCCGCTAGTGTTGCCGGAAGTGCCCCCAGGAAAGCAGGAAATGCCATGACGTCTCAAGGAGAAGGTGAATTGCGGTTGTGTCCCGCGGATTGAGGTCTTTCGCCATTTCAGGCCAGAGATTCCTCTTGTAAACAGATGCCGTAAACTGGTGGCATCCATGAATACAGCACTGTAAATACATTTTCTCTTCATGGTTTTCTTAATAACATTTTCTTCTCTCTAACGCATGATCAGAATGCAGTATGTGATGCATATAACACATAAGATCTGTGTTAGCTGGCCGCTTGTGTGAGCAGTAAAGCTTCCGGCCAGCAGTAGGCCATTCATCATTAAGTTTTGGGGGAATCAGAACTTACATACAAATTTTTCGACCGCATGGTCGGTACCCCTATCCCCTGGTTGTCCAAGAGTCAGCTGCATGCTGGGGCGAGTTGATAAAACACCATTTCTTCATAATTTAATTGTATAGAATACATAAAAACAAAATATCCTAAAGTTAAGTTCCTATCACATTTCCTTGGGCGATGGTTGCATGCTTTTGTAGTTGGACATTCAGATAATGACGTCTTTATTCCTTAAAGATATGTGGATCTTTCTTACATGGAAAATTGCCTGAGGTGACATAGTACAGCTCTTCTGGGTTCTAAACTAACTTACTGAGGGCCAGCGGCTTTTTTAGGATGAGGGATTTTAGCATTTGTACATTTAAGCGACACTGCAGCAAAATAATTTGTATTTTGACAGCAAGAAAACTCTATGTCCTTTGCATCATATTCAAAACCCTTATATTAAAGGGGGGAAGAGCTGGTTTATGGATTGGCTTCAGTGTCCGGGAAGATTCTGTGGGTGGTTCTATGCAGTCACTGCAAAGGAGGGTCATGGACCAGATTGCGTGTCAGATAGATGCCTATAGAATTAAGTGTCACGGGATCTTTAGCTGCTTTTGTCCCCAGTTTTATAGGTGAAGGACTCAATGTGCCTACGTATGTTTATCATTAAAGTAACAATATGTAGAAAAGATTCAGCAAATAACAAAGGCCTTTGTGTAATAACATGTTACTCATCTGCCGGAGGAAATGGAAACTTACAGATAACGTTTTTAATTCCGTTTCAGCTTCACAATAGATATTCTAAGAAGGTGACGTTCTGGACTTTTTCGCGTGGTTTGCTTTTTAAAAGTTTTAGGCCTAAAAATTATATATTACTTGGCATTCTTAGCACTGGCAGAAAATAAGTGTGTGTTTCCTTGGCGAATCTTGGGTCTTAGTCACGTGATGACCGTGTTAGGTGATCAGCTTACAAAACTACATTGTATCTTTGAGTTAGAAGCCAGTAAGAATGATCGACTGGATGGAGATGATTTCCTTTCACCTACAGTCCCAGCCATAACCTTTCAGATCTTGCCCCTGTAAGATCCAAGGGGTAAAAGTTGAGTGATTTGAGGGTGGCAAACATCTGTTGCAGAGACGGGGTGGGGTGGGGGGGGAGGCGACGTGCTTCCAAGCTTGTGCGGAGCTCACTGGGCGCCTCTGCCCGTGAGCCCCCAAAAGGGAGAACTGTGTCTGGGACCTGGCATTTTCCGTCTGACACGCTGGTCTGCTTTCTCCTAGCCACATCGACCAGACGACAACATGGCAGGACCCCAGGAAGGCCCTGCTGTCTCCGATGAACGTCACGGCCCCCACCAGCCCCCCAGTGCAGCAGAGCGTGATGAACTCGGCCTCAGGTGAGCGGGGAGAGCACGGGGGGATGCTCGCGTGCCGGTGGACCTTCCAGCAGGAGACCGTCGAGACTTCTAAGGAAACTGGGCCGTGGTGGTGTCTGTTTTCTACCCAGTTCCTTTGGGAGACACAGTTTATTTAGACATAACACATGCTATATTGCAGCCTTCCTGGGTCACTGACGCACACGGGGCTGGGAGCCGAAAGCCAGCAGTTTCTACAGTTTTGGTTCTGGAGTGAACGTCTCAGTGCCTCGTCATGATAACTGGGACATGCTTGTGTTCTTGTTCTGTTACTCCTTGCATCTGAGGTCTTGAGTTTGATCTTCCCTTTGGGGTTTGGAGTGTGGTGTTCCAGATGCAACTTTTCTTTTCTGTTTTTTTTTTTAGATTAGAAACTATAGTTTATTTAAAACTAAATAAGAGAGAGAGAAGATTTCCTCCCCAAGGTGGGAGAGGGGGCCAAAGCCAGGCAGCATGGCGACAGCCATAGCTCAAAGAACACACAGCCACACCAGTGTCTAGCAAGGCAATGGCCCCAAGTGCAACTTTGCAGGCAGTTATCCACTCCGTCCTGGCATTGCCCGGGAAGCAACAGCTTAGGATCCCAGAGACCCTTTCTCACATGGACACTAAACACACCTTGGCCCTTTTCCCAGGAGAGGAACCTGAGTGTCCTCTTTCTTCTGCCTCTTGCTGGGCAGTTTACTTGAATCTGCAGTTTTTCTCATCTCGGTGATGAGGAGTGGCGGTGGCCTGTGCTCTGAAGGGCTGCTCAGGTAGTAGCAGCGTGCGTCTAAAGCTCCTGTCGCCCACGAAGTGGGAGTGTGTCGCTCACCCCTGACCAGCAGGAAGGAGGCAACAACAACGTGTTCTTCTCAAAGCGGTTTATTCAGCCTTTACACCATGCCAGCTTCTTCTTTCTTCTTCTAGCTTCTTCTCTTCTTCTTCTAGCTTCTTCTTTCTTCCCCGTTGTCCTGTACTTATATCCCTTGGTCTCCACCCACAAGTCCCGTTCCAGCGTGTCAGCAGTTCATAGGCTCTGCAGCGTTGCACTTGCGCGGTGCGCAGTGAAGGAGGGCCTGGCGGTATATCATGCGCCTAATCATGGGACTTGGCAGAGGTCCCGGGCGCCATCTTGGCTCAGGCCACGCTCTCCACAGGGGTGGAGTTGTCCATCACTGTCTCAGCTGGACGCTGTCTGGCCGCCTCCTCCTGTGTGAGTTGGGTGCCCGGCCACGGCGAGCTCACATGCACCTCAGCACGCGTTGGGATAAGGCACCCCTTCCTCTGGGAACAGGCAGCCCCATGCCTGGTGTCTGGGGTTGGAGCCTCGGGCTGGATTCCCGACGACTGTCCTGTCCCCTCACGGCTTCTCTCCTGCCAAGCACCCTGGTAGCAGGGCACAGATGTCACAGTGTGTGGTGGCTCCAGTGGCCTTGATGGTTTTCTCCTTTACAGCCCATCAGTGCTCTCTTTCAGTAAGCTGACCAGTGTGACCGGAGTCGCTCTTCTGTAGGCTTCTTGAATGCACTCTGGCAGGGGACTGTGGGGTGTGAGAGGGGTGGTTCGGTTAGTTGAGAGCGGGGGTCCCTTGACTGGGAGAGCTCACAGAGCTGGGACATCCTTTCTTCTCCTGAAAGGGATACAGGCGTGGGAGCGGTCCTGCTGTCCATAACTCTGCTCTTGAGTCTGGCGCTTGGACATTTGTATTCTTTTTTTTGAGTTGGAGTCTCACTCTGTTGCCCAGGCTGACGTGCAGTGGCATGCTCACAGCCATCGCAGCCTCAACCTGCTGGGCTAAGGCGATCTTCCGCCTCAGCCTTCCAAGTAGCTGGAACTACAGGTGCACACCACCATGCCCAGCTAACTTTTTGATTTATTGAAGTGATGAGGTCTCACCAAGTTGCCCAGGCAAGTTTCGACCCCCTGGACTCAGGCAATCCTCTCGCCTTGAATCTCTCAAAGTGCTGGGATGACAGGCTTGAGCCGCCACACCCAGCCAGGACATTTGTATTCTAAAGGGTTCAGAGCAGAAAACAAAGAACATGGCAGCGTTCGTGACTGGACTTGTTCTGTCATAAACTTTATTTATAAAAACTGTTGAAGAAGGATTACTTCCTACATCTTTATTTTAACTTGTCATATTCATATTATGATATGAATGCATTTGCTTGTTTTCAGAATCTGTTTTATATGTGACATTGAATGTACATCTTAAAATTTTTAAAGACAAAAATTATGCAAACATTTATTAATATTTTTACCCTGCAACTATTTTTTAAACTGCCAGTTTTACAAATAAAGTTTGGAATCTGCCTTGTAAGCCTGTGTTTGTCATGCTCTGTCTAGACACATATCTAGACAACAACAGATAATTGATTAATAATCTAACATCTAACAAAGTTGATTGTGATTTTTTTGCAAACACCGGTGGGTTGTTTGTGTCCTCTGACATTTACGGATGGTCAAGGGTCTAGGACATGAGAAAACTAGGGCTCGTATTTATATTTAAAACCAGAGGCATGCATCGACTTGATTTTAAAGCGACCGTGGATGGTTTGTTTCAACTGTCTTGTTGGTAGAGATGTTTCCACATCCTGCACACACGTCAGTCGGGATTCTTACTCAGAACCAGGTTTCGCGAAGAGGCAACTTGGGAACAGCTTCAGAGAAGGGACAGAAGCTCAACCGTGGGGGGAAAGAAAGTCGAGAGAGAGGCTTGTGGAGGGAGACTTGGGAGAAGGGATGAAGTGGGGAAAGCCACACCCAGGAGACCCAACTGCTTCCAAGTGGAGGGGGAAGTCCTTACTGATGGTGATGGCAAGAGCAACAATTCTGATTTACACGTCAGGCATTCTGCGAAAGTCGTGGTACACACTCTCATGCGATCCTCATCATGGCCATTTGTCAGGTGCTTCATACATGAAAGACGCGGAGTAGCTTTCTCCAGATCACACAGCTTGTGTGTGGTAGAAGCCAGATTCAACTGTGGCCATGAGATTCCATATCCCGTGCTCTTAATCTGAGGTTCACCAGAGTAGGAACAACTGAACGGGTCCTGGCCCTTCGTGGGGATCGTCAGAGCTAGCTGGCAGACATGGTGAAGCCAGAAAGCTTTTTAAAAATGTCAACAAAACTGATCCCCAAAAAGAAAAGAGGTCACCAGAAGTTTCAAAATGAGAGTGAGGTGTTCTGTTGAATTATTCTGACCTTGGTTGCAAATACAAAGGAAGGCGTTGCCTGTCAGGTCACGTGTGGAGGCTGTTGATAGCATCGTACAGTGCGTGGTTCTTTTCACCCTGAATCACATGCACATGTTTGTTGTCTTTCCTTCCATGTCAATGGGTATTTAAGAATAAACAGGACGTAGCCGTGGTTTAGATGTGCTTGGGAATGAATGTCATGGGAACCTTAATCTTGATATGTTCACATAAAATTATAGCCATAGTGTCATGCTAATAAGGCCTCACTCTAGGAGCAGCTGTGGTGTTTATTTGGCAGCTGTGTGATCTCCAGCAAGGTGTGCAACTCAGTTTCCTAAGTAGCTTTTTTTTTTTTTTTGAGTTGGAGTCTCAGTGTCACCCAGGCTGGAGCGCAGTGGCACGCTCACAGCCACCACAGCCTCAACCTCCTGGGTTCCTGCAATCTTTGCGCTTCAGCCTTCCAAGTAACTGGAACTACAGGCGCACACTACCATGCCCGGCTATTTTTTTATTTTTATTTTCTTTGAGTTGAAGTCTCACTCTGTCGCCCAGACTGGGGTGCAGTGGCATACTCCCAACCACCGCAGCCTCGACCTGCTGGGCTCCAGCGATCCGCCTGCCTCAACATTCCAAGTAGCCGAAACTACAGGCGCGCACTACCCCACCGGCCTAATTTTTGATTTATTGTAGACACGAGGTCTCACCAAGTTGCACAGGCGAGTCTCGAACCCACGGGCTCAGGCAATCCACTCGCCTCGGCCTCCCAAAGTGCTGGGATTACAGACTGGGCTACTGTGCCCGACCCCGGCTAATTTTTTATGTATGTATGTGTGTGTGTATGTATGTATGAGGCGAGGTCTCGCCAAGTTGCCCAGGCTGGTCTTGAATCCCTGGGCTCAGGTAGTCCTCTCCCCTTGCTAAGTAGCTTTAGAGACATGATCTTGTCAGCAATTGAACCGAATGTAGAAGTCACTTTGTTTCTTTGAGAAAAGCAGCAACTGTATTGAATGCTCTTCTCTGCTGGCAAAAATGATCATCTACCAGCTACTGGGAAGGCTGAGGTGGAAGGATTGCCGAAGTCCAGCAGGTCGAGGCTGTGGTGGCCGGGAGCGGCCACTGCACTCCAGTCTGGGCGACAGAGTGAGACTCCCACCTCAAAAAAAAAAAAAAGATCATCTAAGGTATTTTTTAAAGTCTAGAGACAAGGAGAATTGTGAGAGCCTACAAGTAAAGTGTGAGGACATTTACTGTAACAAGCAGCAAATGGCCTCGCCTACGGAAGATTTTCACCCCAAAGGGAATGCCTTCTGAGTCTGCTAACCCAAAACCTTCAGATAAAGAAGAAAGCTAGCTGTTCTTTTGGAGCACTTTATTGGTTTCATCAAACGAAATGCAACTCGATTTACATTTTTATTACTCATTAACTTAGCAAGAACTTTCTGGTTTTGCTCTTTTAAAAAAAGGAATCTCCCTATCAGAATTTCAGTTCCAGCTTGTGTTGTGCTGTGATTTTTTGTTTCTGATCAGACCTGACTCCCCAAACCTGTTTTTTGCATAATTTTTAATGGTTGACTGGATTGAATGTACTTTTTAAAGATTTTTTTTTTTCAGTTCTAAGATTTTATGAAATCCTGTTTCTTCAAGTCACCAAAAGTTTCTTCAGGTCACCAAAAGTTTCAAAATGAGAGTAAGGTATTCTGACTCACTCTCAGTTTAGCAAAAATGATCAGAGGTTAATTTTGCTTTTACAAGTCCTTTTGCAAAATACGAGGTTGAAATGGTGGATTTCGTGACCAGACT